TAAGGCTATATCATACAAGAAATATATTAGAAATGTTTTAACTAAGGTTATATCATACAAGAAATATTTAACGAAACAAAAAAAATGGCCGAAGAGTTTGCAAATGTAAGTCAATTCCTCTTAGCCTCCCTTTTTATTGACAGTTGGCCTGATCCATCCTCACCCATCAGACACCAACACAAATCTGTCAACCTCTCTCTCTTATCAGCCTTAAAGTGATAACACACACACACACACACACACACACACAGTAAATATGGGTTTTGTCGATATCTGTCCACTAAAGCTGGGGCTCATAGTTTTTTTGCTGACTCCAGGTTAGAAATCAGAGCTTCAGTTTGGCTGAGATGGGAGGTTTGGATCCATTAAATCTTTTTAAGGCCAGGATTTGTGTGTGTGTCTGTGTTCTTACACATGCTAAAGCTAACAGCTAACTCTTTTCCAGGTGATATTGTCCTGTGGTTATCACATAAAGTTTGAATTTTTGGGGACATAAGGTCATGAATTGAGACTCCTAAATGCAGCAAAAGCTGGACTTTTTGTTCATACCAGTGATCACAAGCAGGTTTTGACCCTGGAAATAAAAGAATGGAACTACCTGCAACCTGAAAGAAAGCTGATAATTAAGTATTGATGAAAAATATGCTGATCAAATGTGTCAAAATGTGGCCTGGTCATGGTCTAACCAGCAGTGGTGTCAAAACCTGAAGAAAACGAGTTTAGGAAAAGTTCATTACTACAAAAAAACATGTCATGGAGCATTTTGGATATTTGGTTTTCACTGTTTGTGGTTTTAGTGTCACTACTTAGGAACAGATAGGAATATACATGTGGATTCACACACTTATCAAAGGTTACACATGAAAGTTGAACATGAAAGCTGAACATATTAACTGATGTTCAAAACCGTTTTGTTGAGGCGAGAAAAAACTATCCTAGCATACATTATAACCACAGTAACAGAACATTTAATCTTAGCCTTTGCTGTGATTACTGAGTGATGAATCATTCCTCTGAAAAACACAACACTACTGATGGACATATAAAAGTATGAGTTTTTATATTTTTTATTGGCACAATTAAAAAGGCTTTTCTTTTTTAAACTATTTTTACTCATAATTCAAATGACAAATCTCCTTTTTCTGGTCCGTTGCGTAATACATTTCTGAAAGAGACACACAATTTGGCCAATTATTGCTAAAACCTCCTAATAGAGGGGTTACTTTAGTGCTGAGCATCAAGTGTAATAATTTTGTTAATAATAATATGAAGCTAATTATTAGCTTCATAATTAATTGGGCAATTGTTTTCCAATCAGAGAAGATGTCCCCTGCTGGTTATTTAAAGGAATACAGGTTTAAAGTCAATTCGGCAAAGATTTCAGTCCTTACTTTTTGTGATTTAAAAGAAAATACATGTGAATGCAAATGCTTAATATAGATAAAAGTCTAATGTTTTGGTTTCCATGTAGGTTTTTACCATCCATGTTCTCAAAAGCTGCTGAACAACCGAACAACAAATGTTAACGTTTGTCTTTTGGCTTCACTTAGTGCTCCCAGCAAATAGGAAAAATGCCCCAAAAACTCTAAAATGGTGAATATTGTCAGAAATCATTTACAGAACAGAACTGTTCAAACAGCTTTTTATTCAACATATTGTATCAGAACACAGAAAAAGGGTTGTGTTTTTTTCTTTTAAATAAAATAAAATAAAAATATAAATAAATAAATAAATAAGTACATAAAATAATAATAATAAATAAATAAATAAATAAATAAATAAATAAATAAATAAATAAATAAATAAATAAATAAATAAATAATCAAATTGAATTAAACTAAATAAATAAAATAAAAAAATAAAATTAAAAAATAGAATTTAATAAAAAATAAAAAAAATGTTAAAAAGGGTTGTGTTGTTGTTTCAAGTGGAACGTGGCGCCGTTACAGGATCATTTGTTGAGATCTTTTTCAACAGGTTAAGGCAGCTGTAAAGAGGTGGAGGGTGGAGATGATGCTGGGAAGAAAAGAACTCACACATGGATTCATCCTCCCTCTAAAATAACAAAGCACAGCAGAAACGTTTGTATACTCCAGTGTCATGCATCCTGAAAAAACAAACACTGTCACTGTGCTTGCATCCATTTTTGTCATTTCTCTCCTTTATGTGAAGCATCTCTCAGTTTATCTGACAGCTGCTGTGATGTGATTTGACCCAAAAGGGGAAAGAAAAAAGCACAGACTAACCAAACGAGTGAGAGGAACAATGTCAGAGGGCGGAGGCAGAAAATAAACTCTTTTAAATAAGACAATGCATGACGGCTACAAGGCTGCTCAGGAGGAAACAGGAACCTCTGAAGCAGAACGAGGAAAAGAGAAAGAAAAAGGGAGAGACGGTGCGTTTATATTTTATATTATCATGGAGAGAAAAGGTGAAAAGGACAAAATGTCCCCCTTTTTGCTACAACAAAGCTCTGTCTGAGCACTGTGGAGGGAAGGGAAATTATGCTCCACTGCTTTGTATCACCGTGAACAATTGGTTTAAATGTTCCTATAATTTCCGTATCGGCGATTCTGCAGAGAAGAACTGACCTCATAAACCAAACAGCCAACAGTGAACAGAGTCAGTCCAAAGATAAAGTCTTATCCAGGCTCCAAAACGATCGGATTCACTCTCAATCTACGTATCTTTTAGGAGTGGAAAGCATCTGAGAGAATCTGCCATCCCGAAAAATGGATCCTAATACTTCCATACCTCAGATTGAGGTGGAACCTTTTCAGATCTGAGTAGAAACTTTGCATGAGGAATCCCATCTTCTTCGAAAGCCCAACACAGGATTCGTTTCTGGCTTTCCAGATTTGGTTGGTTTCCGTTCAGAAAAAGGTCACTGCCAGAAAGGCCTCCTGAGAGAAACACCGTTTCTGTTTCACATCTCAGAAACCTTAGAAATCTCCATATCTATGGAAAGAGAAAAACACAACGTGGTAAATAGGAATATAAATGAACATTTATCTCATTTGGCACAATCCAGCCGGCGTATTAATGCCATTAAACGCTGCTGGGTGGGTTTGCTATGGGGACAAATCTTTTCATTTGCAGTCCCAGAAATAGAAGCCACAATTTGTTGTTGGATTTGTATAAATTCTTTGGGTTGGAGCTCTATCGACAATTGCTTTCTGTGAAAGGTTTAGTGGATAAATGTATCAGAGGAAGTATAACGCTTCTCCACTATTTCATTTAATTCTAATTTGACATGGATGGAAAAAAAATCCACCAACAAAACAAAGGTTGGGTCTCTAAATCTATCACGTCCAGAGAAAACTCTGTATCATATTTGATACATACGGTTTCTGAAATGTTTTGCGTCTGACACCTTTTGCATAATTTAATGGTAAAAACTTTGCTCAAAATCCTATTGTACACAATCAGATACACCTGATAACAGGGGACAGAAGACTACACAAAAAATAATCTTGACTTATCGCATAGTAATAAATTATTAATATAAAAAATGTATTTCTGTTTTTTCTTTTTACATATTTTGTTAAAAGGCCAAATAAGGAATTCAAACCCCCCAAAAAAGTAATTTTCTGTTTTGTTTTATTCTTGGATCAGGCTTTGAAAGGATAAGGTGTTAAGTTCCAGGCATTTTAACCCTGACCTGCTTTTTTTCCAGACTATACTATTATTTCCACCTCCCAACACAGTGAAGATGCAACATTGACAACTCTAACTCTAACTCTAACAAGGGTTAAATTATCATTCTCTGACCAGACTTTGGGTTTAATAACAGGTTTTTCTTAGGTGTGGGAGACTCACTCGGCCTCATCTGCAGACGGCGTGTTGTAGCTCTGGAAGAGCGGCTGCATGAAGAGTCCCAGAGTTCCCACCACACACACCAGGATGAAGATCCACAGGAAGAGACGGTCGATCACCATGGCAACGTACTTCCAGTCCTGGATGATCTGCCACCGAAACCGAAAGTTCAAATTCTTACTGGTTTCGTGGAAAAAAATCACTTTTCAGTCACACCCAAAATCAACCTGGTTATCACTGACCAAACAACCCAATTAGAAGAAGTACTGGGTATATTTTTTGCTTTTTACTGTGTCTTAAATGATCTAGAGCAGGGGTGTCAAACTCTGGCCCGAGGGCCAGATTTGGCCCGCGTTGTAATTATATTTGGCCCGCGAGACAATACCAAATGATTTCATTTCATTTAATTTTTCATTTAATTTATTTTGAAACATGATATGATTTAACAATGTTTACATAGAATGCTTCATAAACATGCATCATGTTTCAAAAAGGAGAAGGATGAAGCATAAGCTTTATACTGTACAGTGCATTAACCGCTCATACTACAACTCCCATAATGCCCTGCTGTTGTTCAGGACAGGACCCAGAAACTCCTCTGGGACAGTAGATACACACTAGGGATGGGACGGTTTCTGAAAACCGTCCGAACCGTTCGGTTCGACTGTCTCGGTTCGGTTCGCGTGTGTACCGCACGGTTCATGCACTGCTCCTTTTTCTCAGAGGGAAGCGTGTTCACTCCAGAGCAGAAGGGGGCGCTACTGCGCCCAAAGCCAACCACCAGTAGTAAACGAGAAGAAGAAGTGAAGCAGCGTAGCCCATAAAAATCAGACGCGCCAACAGCAGTTTCTAGGTCTGCTGTATAGA